CTGCTTGAGTTTATATATAAAGCTTCTGTAGGTTTTCTATAATTGATTGTTAATGCAGGAATATCTTGGTCCGGAGATTATCTCTCGATTTTTGATACATGGATCATCTGTAGCAGAGATTATTAAGAATCTCATTACCTGTCTAAAGAAGAAAGATGACGATCTTCCCAAAATTTTCTTTGAAGCACTGAAAAAGGTATGACTCGTGAATATTGTTGGGGTCTTTGTTGTTGGTGGGGGCGACAGGTGGAATGACGGTTAAATTTACTGATGTGTGCTGATATAAGAAATGTCATTGTTTTTTTAATTGATTAGGCCTACCAGCGGTATGTGGTTGAACTTTCTGAGAGTGATGATGATGAATCTTCAGCAAGCAAGCGTTTTCAAGAATGTAAAGAATTGGCTGCTCGGATTTCTGGGATGTTTATAGGTGCTGCCAGGAACAAGCACAGATCAAACATTCTAAAAATTGTTAGTGATGGCATTGAATATGCATTTCTAGATGCACCGAAGCAGTTATCTTTTCTGGAAGGCGCTGTGATCCATTTCGTATCCAAATTGCCAACATCTGATATCCTGGACATGTAAGACTTTTTTCTAATAAAATATTGTCCTCTTCAGAAATTTTCGCAAGTTATACTTTCGCCATTTGCTATTAAATCTTTATGATTTCTTCTGCGAGCAGTGTTAAGGATGTCCAGAGCAGAACAGAAAATATAAATACGGATGAAGATCCCAGTGGCTGGCGCCCCTATCACACGTTTGTTGACAACTTGCTTGAGAAATATGCAAAGAATGAAGGTGTCCAAGGTATAACCAGACAGAACTCGTCTCAGTACTTTCCTCGCTAATCTTTCGTCTGCATTATGTTTACAGGATTTTGGTTTAACGAAATATTTAAATCCTTGATACGTTACAATCATCTGGAGCTTCTGATGCATGCAATTGGATATGCTGCATTTTGTTCATCCTTGAAGGCTTTGTTTTGCAAGTACGATATTCTATTGTGTTTTAATCCGAGTTTTGTATAACTGCAGATGAACAGGATGCCCCCTCTGTAAAGCGCAGGGGTCGCCCACGCAAAAAGCGTCGGGGAAAGGGACTCTTTGATGAGCAGAGTTCGAGTGAAGAAGAGGATTTAGTAAGCGCATCGGACCATGAAAATGCTCAAGATGAAGAAAACAAGCAAGACGACGAGGATGACGATGAAGACGCTCCCTTGATACAGTCATTTAGGTCATCCGCCAAGTTGAGGGCATTGAGAGTTGCAAGAGAGGAAACAAAGGCCAGATGAGGGCATTGAGAGCTTAAAAGTTAATTTCGCCGCATCGAAGCGGCCGATCGATGGTTTTTCTTTCGCTGTGCAGCATCGTTAAATTAGAATTGCAACCTGCACGTCGTACATTTGAAGGCGTATATAGTTTGTCGACTTACACGTTTGTCTAATCGTTTTCGGGTCTCCCTATTGGCTCGGTGGATCTTTATTACTGCATATTTGAGATTAATTAACCTTCCGAAGTATGTCATTACGCATAAATACATGTTCGGATCGAGCAACACTCCACGACGAGTCTGAGGATTCCGGAGATCTTCAAATCACATCCGTGCATCATGCGGTTAGAAATTATTATAATTTTTTTATTTAAAATTGAATATAAACAATACCTAACAAAAATTGACCGTACGATATATAATAAACGGATATGATTGAAGGATTTTCAAGATTTTCACAAAGAGAATCCAACGAGGATCCTCTCTGCTACACGACATAAGGAGAACTTGTACGGTAAGTTCGATGGACTAGGGTTGGTTATGGTCTGGTTCAGTTCGCTGCACGCCAAACCCGAAAACCAAACTGAATTAACAATTCAGTTTGGTTCGTTTTAGGGTACGGTAAGTTCGATGGACTAGGGTTGGTTATGGTCTGGTTCAATTCGCTGCACGCCAAACCCAAAACCAAACCGAATTAACAATTTAGTTTGGTTCGGTTTCTGATCGGTTCTATTCGGTTTGGTTTGTGCTCGAACCGGTTAGATCTTTTCTTGTTGGGAAGTTGGCTTCCTAATTCCACTGCACAAATCATCAACAAAACTCACAGAAACACCAAAACGAAGTGGAAGCGCAAGGGAGACGAAGGAGGCTGAGGCCGCGATGGTGACGAAAGGATCGGAATACTTAACATGAGCCAAACGTTTTCTATCAGGAAAATCTGAGATTGCTTAAAACATAGAAATAGATTACAAAGTAACAAAATTGGAGATATTGTCTTTGCCATGACAAGTGACCTCAGGCAACTATTAAGCAAACACATCGGAAAAACCTAACCACCTCCCGAAGTTTTCATCTTCTTCCAGTAATTCTCAACAGAGGAGAAATTATACCCTGCATCTCCTGCAACGACTGTTGTATCCGAATTTCCTCCTCAACAGACCGTTTAAGGTTTCGAATATGGCCCTTCAACGCTTCGGAAGCTTTAATGTCCTCAGTCCTCATCTCAAGAACCTTCTTTGTCAACCCCATCAACAACCCCGAGTAACTTGGCACGGTCAAGTGCTTCTGCAAGAACTTGAGCAGCAATTCCAGCTCCTCCGAATCCAAATTCAACACGCATTTCAGCAGTTTATTCCTCGCCACCAATTCCTCCATCACCGCCACGGCATTCTCCGGATTCTTGCCGCGCAAGACAGACACCAGAGCATCCTTGTGCCTAAACTTCTTCAATAGCTTGTCATGCTCGGCCAATTTCACTTTCTTTGGCCTCATTACCACATAGTCCCGCTCGGACGGCTTCTCCCCTTGCCCTCTATGGAAATACCGAAAATTCGAAGGCCTTAAAACCCGAATCTGCGGTTCCTCCATCACAGGTCCCAAACCCCCAGCATCCCCTAAGGCCTTCAACCTTTTCTCCCTCTTCTCATACTTCGAAAGCGGCCTATCTAGCTCCTCATCAGAACCACCCCCTGCGCCTTCCTTGTACTTCCTCCTCCCAGCGTAGATCATCCCGTTCGAAGTTCCAATCACCCTCGTCATACAATCGGGCGAAAACCCTACCGACATTAGCGGCGCAGGGAACCGCATTGAGTGAGTGACCTTCATCTTTGCATAATCAAACACCTTCATGTAACCATCCAATGCCACACTCAAAATCCTGTATTGCTGCGCCTCCTCCCCGCTATCCTTTCCGATTTTCGCGACGCAAATCGAAGTCACAGTCTTATTGTGGCTCTCCATCGAATACACCATTTTCCCACCTGCCATCAAATCCCATATCTTCACGGAATCGCCGCCAGCCGTCGCAATTAACCCACCGGATGGCAAGAAAATCACGTCCTCCACCGGCTTTCCGTGATTCACCTCCATCACCGACCCCGAATCTCTAACCCTCACATCCCAAAGCTTCACCGTGTGATCATAAGACCCAGTAACAAACATATCCGAACTGACCGGCGAGCAATCCCCGCACCGCACGTAGTCCTTGTGGCCGAGCAAGTCGGAAATCGGAGTCTCGCCGGCGACGTCCCAGTACTTGACAATGGCATCGTCGCCGCCGGAGACCAAATGGAGCTTGTCAGAAGCTGGGTATTTGACGAACCGAGCTGGGCGCGTGTGGGATTTAAGTTTCCGAAGCGGGTTTCGGGTTTTGACATCGAAGACCTGGACGAGGCCAGAGAGGTCGGCGGCGGCGACGAGGAGGCCATCGCAGCGGAATGAGGCTGAAGAAACGACGTCGCGGAAGGCGGAGATGGTGGCGGTGGGGGAGAATTGGTTTAGGGGGTTGTAGAGAGTGAGGGAGGCGGAGTGGGCGGCGGCGAAAGAGTGTGGGGCGTTGGGGGAGAAGGTGAGGGAGGTGATGGCGGAGATGAGGTCAGGGATTTGCTTGGTTTTGAAGGAGGACCAGTATTTGGATTCGGAGGATTGTTTGGGAGTTCGGGGCTTAGGCTTGTGCTTGGGTTTCACAGGGAAGGTCTTGGAGATTTGTGGTTCCGCCATTGATGGAGCTCGAATTGGTGCCCGAGCGCTCTTGGGGTCAGGGTTTTGCTGGTGTTAGGGTTTTAGCTTTGATGGGGAAGATCGCGAAACGACGCCGTCTTATATAACTCTTTTTGAGAAATTTTATTTGGGCCCATTTGTTTTGTTTTTATCCCTAACAATTGTGCCCTTAAATAATTAAAAAACACTTAAAATCCAACCCAATTAGTATACTGTCTAGTGATATTTCTGCTACGGTTTATTGGTATTTTTCTTCACTTGTAAGTGAGAGGTCTTAGGTTTGATTTTCACCAGAAAAAATCTTAACCAAATTATTATAACTAGCACACTGTGTAAGGCTTAGGACAATATAAATAAGGTGATGTGGAGTACGTGCGGTCCTTAGGCTTACACATGGAACAACCAGCTTCGATACTAAGAAGAAAGTTGGAGTTCCACCATAAAGAGTTGTTCAATTACTTATAACCAATGTAAGGTCCCTGCGATATGAGATTCATTCTCGACAGGAACATTACTTATTGTTGTCTAACTTAGTGGCCGATCTCAAGGGTTGGGTGAGATATCAGAAAGAAAACTCTCACAAGTTCCTTTGAATGGATCACATTGAACATAGTGAGGTCTGTTAGCTTCACATAATTTTAGTGACACATCAATTTTGTACTTTCTGATTTCTTTACAAATTTTTACAGAAAAATTATAGAGACGTTGGAACATTGTTCAATCAGAACACCGAGGACTCATGGGAACCTAAACAAGGCGTTTCCATAAACAAAACAAAAAAAAACAAGGTTTCGTTTGAAATTTCATGGACTTCTGCCAAAAAAAACAAGGTTTTTGTGCTTAGCCTCGCAATTGGCATTTTTTTTAATAGAAATAACATGCATATCGTCATTTTATCAAGTCTTGGTAGGCCTGAAATCATTTGGAAAGGCATATTGCACACCTGTTAATGCCTCATTTGTGTGGGTAACTAACATGTTCCAAAGCTGCTCTCATATGAATGCTTAACAAAGAAACACACTTATCTTGAACACACTAACATTGTTTGATATCATTGCATCTCATTAATATGTTTGTCCAAGAATGATGATGTTTTGTTATTCTCTAAGATCACCATTTCATTTACTTTGCATTTTTGGATAATTTTTTACTTGGTTCTTTTTTTCTACCTACAATTGTAATCACAACCAACAAACAAGCCAGAGGTAAATAATATTAGGACTGGACTTTAAAGGGGCAACACCTCTCTAAGGGATTTTATCAAGCAATTGAATGGCATATATGAAGGGCAACTCCAACCTTTAAAGGGGCAGCACTCAAGTCATCCATGGACATTCACCGAAATTCGAAGGACCAGCACTCAAGTTATCCCTGGACATTCCCTGCCCCTCATCCGCCCCTGGTGGCAAGTCTAGTGAATTGTCTCCTGGTGTGGTCCTGAGCTATGGACCCTGCTCCTACTTGTTTTCCTTTGCAGCTCATCATCCCAGAAGGCTGGCCTCCCTCCAGCCAAAGTCCATCTACATCTTTGATATTGGGCGGCGGGAATGGCTCCCGGACCCTATTGAGGGGCTTGGGGATGTCCTTCTTCAACCTCAGTATCAGCATGGAGTCGAACCGTTCTTGTTTCAAATGGACGGCAACAAGCTGGCTTCGGTTTGGTGCTATCCATACTTTCCAATTGCACAGCAATGTAAGCACTCTCTTCATCCTTTCTTTTTCTTTTTTTCACTCTAAATTTTATCTCTTGAGGTTGAATTTAACGAGCATCGTCTCCTCAACCAGCTCAACCTTCCACTGACCAACCTATTTCCTCTGTCCTTCAGTCTAGCCTTGACATTGGAAGTAAGCTTGGAGAACGCTGCGCTGGAGAAGTTTGATGGCGTTGATAAGCATGTGTCCAAGAAGCTCCAAGTGGATAAATTGTCTCAAGTTAGCTCTGCCTTATCTACCACCCGTCATCAGGAATTCGTCAGTGCTCAAGAAGCTCCAAGAAGCTCCAAGATGAAGCGGAGAAACCCAAAGAGTTGAATTCTTCTCTGGTGTCGAAGCTCAAAGATTCCGTTGAAAGAGATTCCAAGTCCTTAGTTAACCTTTTTACTGCATATTACTTGGAAGGGTTCAAGGATTGCAAGGCCAAGGGCCAGATTCTTTGTCCCCATGCTGAATGGGATAAAGTTCAACCTGACCAACTCGAGGATTGAAAGACTCCTTTATGTGTTTTCGTGTGAGAATTCTGTACGCCAAATATTTCTCTTCTTCTATTCGTTCATTGTCATCCTCATTGTCTTGCTTGTTTTCTTCATCTCGAGCATTTTCATGGTCCGATGTGCTCACTAAATCTTCTTCTTCACTCGAACTCTGCTCACCAAAGAGTCCCTTACCCAGACGCCTGCGCTTTACAGGGAGGGGGCATCCTTTTCATCTGCAATTATCCAACGTTCAGATTAAGCACAGTACGATATGATAATGTGCAATCCCTTAGGCCTCTAGTCGATCAAGCTGAACTTAAGCAATCTTGAGCAAAATTATGTTACCATCATTGCAGTGCTTTCGGCACAAGCACGTAAGGCTAGTACCCCTGCTCACTCGGGCTTTTAATAAAAATTTCAACGTGTAATAAAATCACTTCTAGCAAAAGCCCTTATGAGAAACAGGCGTTTTAATTTGTTCAGAATGCCGAAATAAATAAAGAAAGTCATCTCCATATGGATATATGTTCATCAAAATGCTTTGCAGGTAACACTAATTTGGAGAACGAATATATTTCATTTAGTACTTTATAAATCTCTTCTGAGCGAGCGTGTGATTTATCAGCAGCCAAAAACTCATGAAACTCACCCTCTACCTCTATCAAGCTTCGCCCCGGATTCTTCTTCACACCCCTCTCTTTCATCATGCTCCTAACTATCTGTACATCGTCCCACCTTTTCGTATTAGCGCATAAATTTGCAAGCAATACATAAATACCACTGTCTTCGGGATCCAATTCTAAGAGTCTCTCAGCAGAAAGCTTAGCCATCTCAACATTCCCATGAATTTTACATGCATTAAGAAGTGCACCCCAAGCAGACTCTGTTGGCTCCATTGGCATTTTGTTTATCAACTCGTAAGCTTCTTCGAGCAATCCAACTCTTCCTAGTAAATCTATCATACAAGCATAATGTTCCTTTTTCGGCTCGATCCCATGATCCCTAGCCATGCTTTCAAAATGGTCTTTGCCTTCAGAAACTAATCCACCATGACTGCAAGCAGACAAGACCGCCACAAATGTGATAGAATCCGGTTTCAGTCCCGTACTTTTCATTTGGTCGAACAGAGTAAGCGCTTGCTTCGCATGGCCGGCATATGCGGCAATCATGGTGTTCCAAGAAACCACATTTCTCTCTGGCATTTCGTTGAAGAGTTGTGCGGCCGAATTTATACCCCCACACTTGGCATACATGTCCATCAATGCATTCCCCAGAATCACACTGCGTAGAATACGCTTTTGATCGATATAGTAGTTGTGAATCCACTGACCCAAATACAGGCAACCCAATTGACCACAAGCAGATAGAGCACACACTAAACTGTCCTCTGTTGGAACCATACCTGACTCCACCATGCCATAAAACAATTTCAACGCGTCATTTGGTCGGTTATTCTGTGTATAACCAGCAATCATCGCATTCCAAGATACTACATTTCTTTCGGGCATGTCATCGAAAAACTTTCTTGCAGAGTCCAAGTCCCCACATTTTGCATATCCATTAACCATGCTAGTCCATGAAAATACATCCCTGACTTTCATGTTGTCAAAAGTCTCTTGAGCCGCAAGCAAACATCCGCATTTCACATACATATCCAACAAAGCATTGAGCAAATTTAGGCTACAATTCACACTCTTCTTTTGTATGTATTCATGAACACTCTTTCCCATACCAATACCTCCCTTTTCGGAACACGCCGAAAGCACTGCAATCATAGTAACCTCATTCGGCTCGACATTACTCAACAACATCGAGCCGAACAATTCCATAGCCTCATCAGAACAATTACTTCCTGCATACCCATCAATCATCGCGGTCCAAGTAACAACATCCCTCGCAGAACTTTCATCAAACACTTTGCGTGCAAGACTTAGAAACCCACCCTCAGCATAATAATGCAGCAACCCATTTCGTACCAGCAAATCAGAATCAAAACCCATCTTCCAAATCACGCAATGAATCGAATCTCCCTCCAAAACTCTCCCAAACTGCCCGCACGCCTTGAGCGCAAAAACAAAACTTCGGCCGTCCATCTCCACACCTTCACGAACCATTCGACCGAAAAACGAAAACCCAATTTCTGGAATTTGCGCCTTTGAGTAGCCTCTGATCATCGTGTTCCACATATACGTATTGGGTTTTCCAATCTGGGTGAAAAGAACACGCGCGTATCGAATGTCGCCTCCGTCGGCGAGAGCGCAGAAAGCTAACACCCTGCTGACCGGAAAGGTGTGCGTGATGAGGCCGGTGGTAGTCATTTGAGCTTGAATTTGCTTCAGCTGGAGCATGGTGGTGCAGGATTCCATGATCTGCAGAGTTGGGTTAGTGATTATTACGTTGGTTTTGGAGTTCCATGTGGGTTTAATGGCGGAGGCTGACGAGAATTGTCTCAGAATTTGGAGCCAGTGAGAAGAAAGCAGAGAGTGGAAGCGGGACTTCATAACATGGCAAATTATGAGCTCAAATGTAAAGTTAAAAAGGATCCAAAGAATGAATTTGAATTTCTACTCAAAATTGTTTGTTGTCGATTTATAGAATTTCGTGTTTATGATTATAACCGCTCATGTTATTAATACAGTATAAAGATCGCTTCTGCAAAAAAATCAATTAAAATTAAGGTCGTTAGTCATCGAATTGTATAAAAACAGATGAACGAAATTGGTAAAAACATTATAAACCATCTATGTATTTGCTACAATAGATTGACCAAATGATCTTAGGTTTAGTTCCTTTTTATGTAAAGGTCATCTTTACAGAGTGATTTATAAAATGAACGGTTTTGATTATAAGAAAAAACTCTTATCATTCGAACACGAAGAGTTTTGAGCAAGAGTTTCTACTCATCCTTGAGTAGCCGAGCACTGTCCTTTAATTTATAGGAAAACTAATGAAAATGGCTTTAAAACTTTGATTTTTAACGATAAGGACAAAATAAAGGGTAAAGTGTATAATACTACGATTGACATTATAGTGTAAAAATGTGGTTTTTCGTTAAAGTGAACAGTACCGGGAGCTTTTCGTTACAGTTCCTTAATTTATTGGGTAGACAAACCGGGTTATCACATTATTGTGCTATTCAATTTAAAGTGAGTTCCATGCCGCACATTTTGTTTAAACGAGTGAACGCTTAAAATTTACCAAAAGTAAAATCGAATCTTTTGTTCCCGCAATTTAGAAGATTGGATTTGCAATGAGATGTGAATGATTTTAATTTCTTGAGATGCCAAAAACTTGTAGCTCAAGGGGTTAAAGGCATTTGTCTATGCACGGAGGTCCGGCGTTCGATTGTCCTACTCCCAATATCGCTTGTATCAAGACAACAAATGTACAATTACAAATCTATGAGGTTGTTCTGAAACACCACTCCCCAAAAGAGAAGAACCACTTACGAAATAATCAAACGTAAGTTGTTGTCTATGTTACATAAATCACAGTGAAACAAAATTTAACCAATTTCCCTTCCCTATAAGTTCTCTCTATTTAGCTTCAAAAAGTCTTCTTGTTGTACATATATTACAAAATCGATGAATGAGAAACGAAGAATTTGGTCCCTAAACGTCTAAATCTCGAGCATTCTAAGATTGTGTACACTAGACGAGGCTTCAACTTCTGCAACGATAACATCCAAATGAGAACGCGATGGCGCGCTGTGTTGAGCAAGGCAATCCATAATGTGGGAACTGGGAAAGGATCGGGCCTGGGGAGAAATGTGGATTGTCACATTCACCGGTTGGAAATACTGAAATCTGTGAGCTATATATATGCAAGTGAGTTTCGATCAAGATCAGGCTGTGGTCGACCACGAGTAGGCGTTGGTGGTCTTTGAATGTTGAGCTCCTGCTCAACAGAAGGGATACGAGAGTATGAGAGAGGCAGCAGGGGAAATGATAATCCATTGAAGGCATATACATATTAAACAACGTTATAGATGTGCTTACCTGCATCCATGTGTCGTCTATGACCCGTTCGGGAGATGTCTCCGGTGACTGAAGAGGAGGCGGCAAAGGATGGATTAATTTTGGAACCACAACCAAACCTCTGCCAACGACCAGTATAGCACCAGCATTGTTTGCCGTCCCTGCAAGAAAAGGCCATATGAGACTGCGAGCACCGCAACATGGAAAGAAACTTACAAAGATTTTGCGTACCGCAATAGTTGGTTGCAGAAAAAAGAGTGATCAACTGTCCCTGGGCAAATCTTTCAAATCCATCCATGACACATTCATGAGCTCTTACAATGAGTTGTAATTTGTTTCTCTTACAAAATTCTGCGACACGATCAGGCTGCAAGTAGCAAGAATATATTAGTATGGCGGTACAAGTATGTATATCTTAAGACTTGAAATTATGCACATGAAAGGAGTGGCCGTACAAAAGGGTTGTCGGAAAAAACAAGATTGTAGAGGAGTTAACACAGTCGGACCGTCGGTATTGCCAAAAGAAAATCGATATTGATGTAATGTCAAACTACAGTAATGATGATTATAAGGTAAAACAAACCTGCTCTCAGATCATCAAATGTACAGTTTGTTTGGTGTTAAAGAATGCAGTTTCAATCGGTTGCCTATTCTGTCGCTTGGACTACAGTTGGGTGTTTTCAATAAATCACAAACAGCTATATCTTTGCTATTATATGTGAATTGTCAAATTGTTTAAATTTAACATCATAAGGTGGCCCCCACCTAAACCCTAACAGATACTTCAGTGCACTATCAATGCCAGAAAGAGGAAAACAAAGTCATATGAAGAGTAATGCTCGAGTAGAAATTGAGAAAAATAACCCAAAACTGCAACGTACCCCAAAGGTGACAAGACCAGGCCCTCTGGCATTTGGTCTCAAGCCCTCTACACTGTCGTTTTCTGTGGGATCGGACCTGTGTACATATAAGTCAATAGGCTCACAAACACAAGCAATTATATTAACAGCAAACGAACAGATGAACTGAGCAAGAGTGTACCACAAAAGATCCATTAAAATTATAGAGCCAGCATCCATTGTAATGGGTCTTTCAAGCTTCTCTATCTGTTCTACAGAATTGATAGATCTCCCAATGCCTCCATGCATACAGATAATTTTCTTTTCAATCAGAGCAGCAAGTGGGAGATAGTTGAAAAGTTGATTGAACCGAGTCCATGCCCAGATTCCATCATTCTCACCCTACATGCACACAAGTTACTATTAACTTTTATTATTCTGAAATCCAGAGAAAAGACTGCATCATGTCTGCATAATTAAAACCCGTACCATTCTCTCAATGCATTCAATACGAAAACCAAAGAGTGCATTGATATCAGCAGCTTCATGGTTTCCACGTATTAAGTGAACATTGTCGGGATACTCGATCTGCAAAAACAATCAGGGCATATGGTCAAATATAAAAGTGGGGAGTACAAAAAAATATAAAGTAGATTACTTAAAAGAAGAACTTGCCTTCAGTGCAAGGAGCAAAGTTATGGTCTCCAAGCTGTGCTGTCCTCGATCGACATAATCCCCCAAAAACAAGTAGTCGATATACCTGTAACAATAATTAGACTAGCTGAAAAGTCTGATTTATTCCTAGATTCATAGTTTATATGGGTGTCATCAGCCAAAAAGCTTCTGAAAATTAAAAATTTATTAAACGAAGAATTGGAGTGAATTCTTCATATTTGACTTTACTTCACCAGTAAATATCTGAGTCAAAGTTCTGGTGTAAAACAAATTCTTTCTACAAGTATATTGAAAGATATGGAATGTGCAAAAATAGTCATCTTACGTTATGTCTCCGGCAGCAGATGGAAATCCATATTCATCAAATAAGCGCATTAAATCACCAAACTGTCCATGAAGATCGCCAAATACTTTTACTGGGGCTTTCAGCTGAAGAACTGTTTGCTCGTGCATAAATATCTGCTCAGCAGCATAACAAAGTTCCCCCACTTCATAAGAATCCAGGAAAAACTTCCTATTGACAGGGGGTTTCCAGTTTCGAGGCCTCAACAATGTAGATATAACCTGCAAGGTAATAGATAACCAAAAAAAAAAAACTGTCAATTAACAATAACAAAAAATTCCTTCCAGAAATAGTGTGTAAAAAGAGAGAAAAATATCAAATGTTAACTGATGCTTGCCTTCTTATGTAGCCCTTGTGGAGACTTCTGCCTGGTGTACTTTTTGTTGGGATGTGATAAGTCATTGTTCATTGGAATCGTTCGTCTGCTCTCATTTTCAAATTGATCCAAAGACAACTGTCTTACCATCCCACCCAAGTTGCCTACAGCCTCTTTGGCAACAACAACCTACAACAACAGCAATTTATAATTTATGCCACTTAAAGATGAAAATTTCCCTCCATTAGGTTTTGATGCAAAAGACATACAGCTCTGTGATGAAGACGAACATCTGCCTCGGTGTCACTACCATCAGACAATGTTTCTGCAACTTGTGAATTATCATCTGAAACGGATGTTTCTTCAGAAGGAGTAGCAGATGTTGATTGCACAGCTTGCCAAACAGCACTAGCTGCCTCAGCTTCGGCAGCAGAAGCCTCCCGGAGTTTCTCCATTGAACTTTTGTCCATGCTGCAAAAAATAATGATGTTTGGCACAAATTATGAGCATGTAGCTCAGTCAAAGAACTTGGTAGAGAGGGAAAAGAGGATATGGAATAATACCTCAAGCCAGTTGACGAGGGACTCTCAGTTTCACCATCAGAAGATGATGTTCCAAAAGTCCTTGTGTTAGCATGAAACATTCTGGGACTGGATACCGTTGGGGATCTCTCAGACGTTACAACAGGCGAATTACCTTCAGACTGAACTGATGAATTTTCTGCAACCAGGAAATCATCTAGCAGGATGTCTGTACAAGAAGATAAACAAAAGATATTAAAACATGATTGAACCACATAAGCAGAGGAAGGCTGCATCCATTATTCAATTACATTAGTCATATTTTCATTTAGGTTCTAAAGTCTTTACCTCCTTTAAGACCACCATAAATATATATACGAACACCAAGAGATGCAGCTGCATGGCGAGAACGACGCATGAGCTCCAAAGAAGGATCATGGTCATTCTGTCCCTTTCCTGTCCGTGAGGAAGTCACAAGCCCATTTCTGTCCAACCAAACTCCAGCAGCAGTGTCCAATACTATCAAATAAGGAGAAAGGAACATAGAAACAAAAGGTATTAAGAAAACTTAATGAGGTTACATAATCATGGTGACAAATTTCGCAACCAAAACATTACCTGCAATAGCAGCTTCACCTTCTATACCACGACCTCCCCTAAGAGCACCTCCTGTGACATGTAATCTTGCACCAACAAAAACCTGATGACAGAATATGTCAATTGGATGCTAAAATAAGGTTTGAGCTCAAAAGGGTAAAGATAACTCAGAGATAGTCAGCTAGTTGAGTAGAAAATGAAAAATGCAACAGTACAACAAACACTATATGATAAGTATGGTTTCTACTGCCAAATATATGCTCAGTAAACCATGTGCTTCACTTCAAAAAAAAAAAAAAAAGGAAAACAAACAACATACAAATGGGT